TATTATTATTTAGAAACAAGACGTACAATATGTCCTCTATTTATTCCAACAACATAAATTCTGTTTAGTTATGTGTCTTTAGATAGAGGACTTCCAACAGGATTCATATTTATGTTTTTTATTGCCATTTCACAGCATTGCGATTACTTATACTCTAAATATTATTTAAAAATATGTTTACAATATTTAAACCACTGTCTAAACTTCCTCTTTATTTTTAAATAATCCAACAATCAAACCAAATTTCTTTTCTTTCAGACTACAAAAACAAAACCAAAAAAATTAACACACAAAAGAATTGCTGCATAGGAAACGATAAGCGACTGCTATTGGATGAAGACAACTGGAAACGGAAGATACATATTTGAGATTTTTTCGAACGGAAAATTTGCACTGGTATCTTGTGAATGCTGTAGAATACGGAGGACAAAAGAATGAAATGCTCAATTATATGTAGGAAACAAAACAAAAAGCCTAGAGGATAGACACAAAAACAATACCAAGGAACCGACAACAATAACAGCATGGAAGATAAAAACTAAAGGAAACTTGAAAACTCAAACAGTTGGGATTATTGTTTGAAAATTAAGAAGAAAAAACAAACACACACATACACAACAAATAATGACGTCACCGGCAACAAATGCAATTATCGAAGAAGAACCACAAGAACAAATGTCAAATGCCACCATAACCTTTGAGACTTGATAAGCAATTTATAAACAAACGAAATACAAAAAACAACAAGTATGTATCAGTTTTTTTTAAAAATCGGTTCAGATTTAGATATAGCTCCCATATATATTTTCGCGCGATTTAATGTAAATGGTGTACCAAAGTCCCTGTATCTCTCTCGATTTGCACGAAATTTGGCATAGCCTACTGAATTAAGTATAGAACGATGTTTGTTAAGTTTCGTGAAAATCGGTTCAGATTTAGTTATAGCTCCCATACTGAATTAAGGCTGGAATGATGTGTGCTAAGTTTCGTAAAAATCGGTTTAGATTTAAATGGTAAATGGTGCTCCAAAGTTCCAAATATTTTTCAAAAAAAAAAAATAAACAAGAATTCAAAATGTTTTCATAATAAAAATAAATTAAGAAAAACATTTTACATTTTTTTACAAATAAAATAGATTTTTTAAATTGCAATTTTTTGTTCATTATTTGAAATTCACAAAATCATCTAATTTTTCTTGATAGTGATTGCTTTAAGACTGACTGGTTTTAAACTTCAATAAAACACGTTTTGTTTAGAGGGTGGTTGTTTTTTTTTTTAATTTTTATTCTTTATTTTTTGTTTTGTTTTTTAAGAAATACATAAATAAATTCCAAAAAACATTATTGTTTTTATTATTATGTATATAATTATTATTTTCAGTAAATATAATAAAAAAACATTATTAAATAAAAAAAAATACAATGAACAACAACTTATAAAAAGGGATGATAACACCTGCATACCTTCTTTTTATATATATAGGAAACAAACATAAAAATTATATATAAATTACAATACAATACAATAGTATTTGTTATTTTTTTTTAATTCTTTCAATTCAATTTAACAAACAAATTAGCTAATAATTATTATTATTTTTTTTAATTTTATTTTAAATATTCTATAATGTATATATCTGTATAGGTATATGTTTGCTTTAAAGGTTATGTATATATTTTTTATTATTATATGTATAAGGAAATATCGTGTGCCTTAAACAAACAGAAAAATATCTTTTTTATTATTAATTCGTCTTTTTGTTTTGTGGGTTATTTAAAAAAAAACAAATTGCTTATGTTTTGACTAAGAGGGAGGAGTGTTGGAGGAAGGGAAGAGAGGTGGAGGATTATATATGTATATAAAATTTGTTAAATTTTGTAATACTCTTAATAATTAGAAATATAACAATTTTATTGTTATCTTTCTTTTTGAAAAACAAGTAACAAAGCCAATTTTTATTTAATAGTTTTTTTTTTCTTTTTGTATAAATATTTTTTTTAACATTTTAAATATAAACATTTTTTTATATATAGAGTAGTAGTATATAGGGTATGATGGTGGTGTGGTTATTTTGTTTTTTGTTCTTTTTTTAGTAATAAAATAATTCGGGAAAGTTGGTTTCATAAATCGGTTTCTCATTTTGGTTAGTGGCATTCTGTGGAGTCTTGTTGTCAATTGATAGGGAATTGAAGAGGTCATTCAAACGATTTTGGATGACATCGTGCTGGAAAGAAAAAAAAATTTAAAAAGACAATGTTAGTAAAATATACACAGATTTGAGATGTAAGAACACTATTCAAATGGATTATTTAAAGATTATTTTTAAAGGCCTAAAAAAGTCTTCAAGGCTTGGATTTTTTAAAGAATATTTTTCAAAACCTAAAATAGGGCGTGGATTTTGTAAAGAATATTTTTCAAGGCCTAAAAAAGGCGTGGATTTGTTAAAGAATATTTTTCAAGGCCTATGACAAGCCGTGGATTTTTTAAAGAATATTTTTCTAAGGACCCACACAAGGCGTGGATTTTTTAAAGAATATTTTTCAAGGCCTTAGACAAGGCGAGGATTTTTTAAAGAATATTTTTCAAGGCCTAAAAAAGGCGTGGATTTTGTAAAGAATATTTTTCAAGGCCTAAAAAAGGCGTGGATTTTGTAAAGAATATTTTTCAAGGCCTAAAAAAGGCGTGGATTTTGTAAAGAATATTTTTCAAGGCCTAAAAAAGGCGTGGATTTTGTAAAGAATATTTTTCAAGGCCTAAAAAAGGCGTGGATTTTGTAAAGAATATTTTTCAAGGCCTAAAAAAGGCGTGGATTTTGTAAAGAATATTTTTCAAGGCCTATAAAGTCTTTTTCAAGGCCTTGACAAAAGGCGTGGATGAAGAATATTTTCAAGGCGTAAAAAAGGCGTGGATTTTTTAAATCCAACAGTCGGTTTTACGATCTGAAACTACCCGAGTCTTACTTGTCCAACGACTGTCATCTCACCCCCACTCTGTACAAAAAGTGAGTGGGCTACAACAACAACTTTTTCAAGACCTAATCCCAGAAAAACTTGATTGACAAATATCAAAACATTATCTAAAGAGGCAGGATGTTCTCGAGAGGATAGTTCAGTAAGTCTGTCTAACTAGTCGAAGATTTCCTTACTTTGTTCCTTTAAACTATCGCGGATAGCGTTAAGAGTCCTGTGTAGGTCGTTCCCTCCCAGAACTACAGTCTTGTCAGCCAGAGACAGATTTTCATCAGTTCTGACTTGCTCGTTTGTAAATAGAATTGCCGGGTCGTCAACGTTCGGCTGGATTTTTTAAAGAATATTATTGAAGGCCTAAAATAGGCGTGGATTTTTTAAAGAATATTTTTCAAGGCTGGATTTTTTAAAGAATTTTTTTCCAGGCTGGATTTTTAAAGAATATTATTGAAGGCCTAAAAAATGCGTGGATTTTGTAAAGAATATTTTTCAAGGCTGGATTTTTTTAAAGAATATTATTGAAGGCCTAAAAAATGCGTGGATTTTGTAAAGAATATTTTTCAAGGCTGGATTTTTTTAAAGAATATTATTGAAGGCCTAAAAAATGCGTGGATTTTGTAAAGAATATTTTTCAAGGCTGGATTTTTTTAAAGAATATTATTGAAGGCCTAAAAAATGCGTGGATTTTTTTAAAGAATATTATTGAAGGCCTAAAAAATGCGTGGATTTTGTAAAGAATATTTTTCAAGGCCTTGACAAAAGGCGTGGATTTTTTGAAGAATATTTTCAAGGCGTAAAAAAGGCGTGGATTTTTTAAATCCAACAGTCGGTTTTACGATCTGAAACTACCCGAGTCTTACTTGTCCAACGACTGTCATCTCACCCCCACTCTGTACAAAAAGTGAGTGGGCTACAACAACAACTTTTTCAAGACCTAATCCCAGAAAAACTTGATTGACAAATATCAAAACATTATCTAAAGAGGCAGGATGTTCTCGAGAGGACAGTTCAGTAAGTCTGTCTAACTGGTCGAAGATTTCCTTACTTTGTTCCTTTAAACTATCGCGGATAGCGTTAAGAGTCCTGTGTAGGTCGTTCCCTCCCAGAACTACAGTCCTGTCAGCCAGAGACAGATTTTCATCAGTTCTGACTTGCTCGTTTGTAAATAGAATTGCCGGGTCGTCAACGTTCGGATTCGAAATTGATGCACTTGTAACAGATACAGCTGCAGGTGCCAAGGCATCCACACCTAGAACAGCCGGATCACAATCGCTTGATCTCGACGACACGTGGCTTGTGACCTCACCAATGATTGCCGCCGGTACTGGTTTATTAACTCCCTGCACCGTAACTTTATACTTTTTGTTTCTTTTACCCATCGTAGTTAATTAATTTAAGGGCACTAGTCCGATCCATTTATGTCCACGAGGGATTGTGGGATATATGGGATATAGAATATATATCCCCTAATTCGGTTTTAATTTTTGTGTGTTAAATTCCAGCCATTTTTCTTACCTTCGGTTCAGTACGTTTCATAAGATCCTCAAAATCGCTTTCACGGAAAGCGCGAACAATTTGTTTTTGTTTTTCCTGTTGTTCTCTCTTAACGGATTCTGGTGGTTCGGCCAAATAACGTTTCATGGCATCAACGGTATATTCAGGAGCTAAGGCCTTCTGTAATGATAACAAAAAATACCAAACAAAATAAATATTAGTTTTTATTTGTTCTTCAGGTTAATTTTAAACCTTTTACTCCCCTCCTCCCCCCTCACATAAATATAAATCCATTCTCCCCGCCCCCCTTACTAACCTTCGATACACCCGGTGAACTGCTAATACTATCCGCATCAGCATTATATGCTGTCAAATCAGCTGAACTGTTACGTTGAGTCATGTGATTGCTGCTGACCGACTCGACCCATGAATGACGATGACCTGGATTATCGGATTGATTGAGGGCATACGGTACACCCGTTTGCAAACGATTGAAATCCATGCCAGCATTTTGTAAACATTCAGCCAGAGCCATTTTATCAATGGCCAAATGGGGTAAATTTAAATTATAGGATTTGTTCGATTTCTTTGTATCCAATAGAGGTGGCAGCAAATAGGTAGCCTCTTGTTTACGATCTTCAATGATTTTTTGCGCATATTCGAGTAGATTATTAATGCCCGTAACCCGGGCGGTTAGGGTCAACAATGCAATGGCAATAATTTGAAGGCAACATTTGTGGATATTACTCAACTCATCGGAGGTGTTGGCGACTTGTTGTATACTAGAAAAAGAAATACGAAAGAGGATTATTTTTTTAGTTTAATTTTAAAAAAATATGGGGTGAGGAGAACTTACCCCAATATAAATAGTAGAAACTCTTGTACCGTTTCCCCACAAGCCATTTCCACAATAAGTAATGCAGCCGTATTATAACTTGATGTCAGCGAATCCAATTTCTCCGACAATGCCATACTATCAATGAGGGCCTGCATAATATTTGCCCCATATTTGTGGGTAAATATAATATCCGAACGCGATGGTGTCTCCTGGGAGAGGGCAGCATACGGTTTAATACTAACCGTACTTAGCACCTTTTCATTTTGATGCCTATCCAATAGGGATTGGAATATTTGCATTACAATAATCCTTGTGGGATCATGGGGCGCACGGGCCATTTTCAGCAATGGTTGTAAGAAACTTGCCGGGAATGCTTTTTCAAATGAGGTGGTACTATATTGTGTACCCACCTTAAGTAGCGATTTCAAGAGGATATTTTGTAACATTTGATCGCCTTTGCTTTTCTTCGAGAGATCCGGTACCGTATTCATAATGAAAAGCATAATTTCAATTTTCTGATAATCAGGATGATGATTGGCAAATTCACCCAAAGCATTAATGAGAGCCTCTTGATATTGTGATTCTTCGGGTGTTATTTCAGTTGTAGTGCTGACACTAGTTCTCAAATGGGTCAATAGATTATTGATAATATCCAAGGCTGAAGGGCCAACACTTTCACCCGCTGCAATGGCAATAATTTTCGAAAGGACCACAGCCAAAGAGGTTCGTGTCTTGGGCGATGATTTGAAATTATTATCCAAATGTTGCATAAGGGTTTCGACAACAGTATACGAATATTGGGGCTGTATGGAAATCATAACAATACGGAATGTGTGTATGGCAAATGTGTTTGGTACCCATAGCTCATGGCGATCCAAGTGGCTGCAGGGGGAAAATAAAAAAAATTAAATTAAGTTCTCAAATAAATTAAAATATTAAAACTCACGTTAGCAAGGGTTTTAGGACACTGCGTATATGTCCAAATGAGGCACGACCAACCAATTCTCTCAATACTTCCTCAGCCAAGACGGGTGGGGTAACCACAGTGGCATCTTCCACCGGTGTCAAATCGCCAGACTAAATTTGTGGGGTAAAGTATAAAAAAATTAGCATTTAACTTATATTTTGATTTCAAAATTATTATTAATTATTTTTCTACAAAACATCTAATAATTATATTTTTTCATTATTATTATTTTAACAACAAATTTATAAATTGTATTAATTATATATTACCGCCAACATGTTTTTCTTCACAAACATAACGTTAACGCCAAACTGTGTGTGTGTACATATCACGCATTATAGACGAGACAAGTGTATTTTCATGTGTGTGTTTGTTAATTTGTGGCATATTTTTTTAAGTGTGAAAGCAAAGAAAATTCGGTTTTGGGTAAATATTTAAATATTATTTTGTGAATTTGTTGCATGTAAATTGCATTTTTTTTTTAAATTTTTGTGTTTTTCAATAATTTGGATTTCAAATAAAATTACAAAAAAGAAAAAAATGAAACAAACAACAATACAGAATAATAAAACAATTTCAACAATTCAAATATTGTATATTAAAAAAATATTGATATATAAGGATACTGGGAAAAAAGTGAGGTTAGAAAAGTTTATTTAAATCAAATTTATTTTGAATTTATTAATAGAACTGTATTTTTTTATTAAATCAACTTTTTTAAAAATAATAAAATATCATAATCTCACTTCTTGAGTTTTTAGTTTTTTTTATTTTCAAATTAACCATTCTAACCCCACTGTCTTCATATAAATATTAAATTTTATGGCTAAGTGCATAATAAAATTTGCATATTTTTTTAATTAAAAAGCAATTCAAAAAATAAGGAAAGCAAAAAACGAAAAAATGGCAGACAAAAAATTGCCACAATATTTCATAATTCTCACCTGCATATTAAATAACAGCGATGGTACGATTTTTTCCATATGTTGTTTTTCCCAAATATTCTCAACCAAATCATCGGAGACCGTTTTACGTATCACACCCTGCAAACCTTTAATGCCAGCCAATCGTATACTGTCACGCAGTTCGATATTATCATTATTCCCATAGCACATGGAAGAGAATTTTGAAATGAAAAAGTCATAACGACGATGATAGGAGGGTGTGTCCTCATTAATGTTGGCAAATTTAACAAACTGCAAGGAAAAAAAGAAAAAATACAAATATTAATAAAATATGTAGGAAATGTTGGAGGAGGAAATTATCAAGGAAAATGGGAAATATTTCACTATATGGGAAGGGTCAAAAGCAATAACATTTAAATGAAATGGAGGTCAATAAAATGGAATGATGTTTGTCATAATTAATGTAAGTATTGTAGGTCAGTTTTTAATAAAATATGGGTGAACGTTAATTCTGTCATATCGATATACATACATATATTATTAAAAACTGACGTACAAACAAAACAACTGATGGAGTGACAAAAAAAAAAAAACTATGAAAAGGTTGTGCCTGAAATGGTGGTCATAAAAATATTGAGGGGCTAGCTTTTAAGGTTTGAAAAATAAACGGGCCAAGTAAAATAGACAAAGACTTAATTTATTTAGACTATTTAAAGGTCGTTTACATTAAATCGGATTTGGTTAACCCAGTGGGTTTAAATTTTCAATTCCTTTGGATATATGCCAAATAAATCCTTATAAAGTAACTAACTAATGTAAATGCCGTATTATTAACAATGATATGTGGGTGAAATAATTATTGCCTTATTCAACCCAAAAAAAAGGTTTACATTTTACCGGATTTGGTTAACCCAGTGGGTTTAAATTGTCAATTACTTTGAATATATGTCAAATAAATCCTCATGTAAATGCCGTATAACCTTAATTTATATACAGCTTAATAGTCATACATGTTTTAAAAACAAGGACACTAGAAATATTATTTTTATTATATTATATTATATTATATTATTTTTAATATACGTATTAAAAACATAACCTAAAGCTGCCAAGGAGTACATAATTTTTAAAATATTATTTGTGCTTTAATGAATACTTTAATTCATTTTCTAAAGGATTCATAATAAAAATCAATATTGTTTTTTTTTAATTTTTAGCGATTTTTGCTACGGTAATCGATTGACATCACTGTAGTGCAGTGTTGAGTGTTCTGTCAGTTGAGCTGTGTTCATTAAGTAAATGACAACGTATAAGCATACGTTGAAAACAAAGCGTATAAAACGTAAACATATGTATACGTTGGACAATATGCAGCGTTTTGAAGTAAAAAAAAATACGCTTGACAAAAAAAAAAGCGAAATAAAAACGAAATTTAAATATATAAAATATTTCATGTATAGAAAAATTCAGAAAATGTCTTCTCCATGTACACTATAGTTTGTGTAATGATATATAAATGAGAAAATATAAAAAATGGGTGTAGTAAATAAAAAAACTGGTCTATAAAAGTGAAGCTTATTCGTAATTTTAGGCTAAAAAATATTTGGAAAATAATTAATATAGAGGAACGTTTGACAACACTTCACCTAAATATTTGTATATTTGTTAAAAACCCATATATTAGGTGGTTATTTTCATAATTGTATTCAAATACAAAAATGTACTTTAAAGAAATAAAGGTGAGCATACGTTCTCTTTTTTAGAGCGCAATCATCTATTTTAACTGGCTGTCATCTATAAAATGTATGTCCTCTATCTGGCATCTATTTCTATAATCTGTCATCTTTGTTATCTATTTTCTTTAAAAACATTGATCAATATTTATTTTGGTAAATAAAAACAAATTAATAAATGTTATGAAATTTCAGTGAAATACTTAGAAAAGGTATTTTTGGTACATTCAGGATTTGTAGACATATTTTCCAATCGAATTATCTGTTATTTCATTTTTTGAGTTCTAACAGCCTTGGGTAACAAATTTCCATAAAAAATATAATTATAAAATTTTGGTACTTTTTGAATTCCTGGATGTTTTGCAAAGGAATTGACTGTAATTTGATATTTTGGGTTCTATTTTTTTAGGTTCCCCAATATAAAAAAATTCACCCTTTCATTATTTGTTCATTTTACAAAAAGTGAATGTAATTTAATAAATTTTCAATTTTGTTTTGTGGTTTGCATTATTTGCTTGAAGATATGGATTCGACGTATTTAATAACTTTTTAACTCATTTTATATATTTATAAATAAATCAAAATGTACGTTTTATACACATACTAGTTCTCTTTAATTAAAAAGATTTCACTACTCAAAGTGATCAAATGCCAGCCCCCATATTAGGTAATCATATTCATAGGAGCCCCCAATCCATATTTTGAATGTCATCCTCGTGGTGGAGGGTATAAAAGTTTGGCATGGCCTAACTTAACGTCATTTTAACTTCTCTTTTTCGCAAGACTTAATTTTTTCTTTCAAAAATACTTAAATATAAATATCGTTTAAATGCTGTAATTTTTTTTCAATTCCAGTATAAAATAATCCCTTAAATACTTTTAAAAAATTTATAATAATTTTAGTTGATAATTTCCTTTTCAAAATTAATGTTTTTTTCTATTAATTTTTTCTTTCCCATAATCTCATTTTATACTCTGTTGTACAATCGCCCGACGTATATAGTCACAGCAAAGCGTAAACAATCAACCAGTCATTTACGCTTTACGCCCCACACATACGTTCAATGAACACACGCCACATTGTGCGCGGCGCTGCTTGTTATCTACAAGTGCAAAAAAATGTGCTTTATTGAACACAGTTCCGAACACTTCCCACTGCTGTGTTCAGTAACTTCCGTCTGTATTTCTTTCTTTCTTTTTCTGACGGAGTAAAGTTCGGTTGGAAAAATGGGTCGCCGTCCAGCGAGATGTTATCGTTACTGTAAAAACAAGCCTTATCCAAAATCCCGTTTCTGTCGTGGTGTACCCGATCCCAAGATCCGTATCTTCGATTTGGGCAGAAAGAAGGCTGGCGTAGAAGATTTCCCCCTATGCGTGCATTTGGTGTCTGACGAATATGAACAGCTTTCATCCGAAGCCTTGGAAGCAGGCCGTATTTGCTGCAACAAATACTTGGTGAAATTCTGCGGTAAGGATCAATTCCACATCCGTATGCGTTTGCATCCATTCCACGTCATCCGTATCAACAAGATGTTATCGTGTGCCGGAGCTGATAGGCTCCAAACTGGAATGCGTGGTGCTTTCGGCAAGCCACAAGGTACCGTCGCCCGTGTGCGCATTGGACAACCCATCATGTCGGTGCGTTCCAGCGACAGATTCAAGGCCCAAGTTATTGAGGCTCTCCGTCGTGCCAAGTTCAAGTTCCCCGGTCGCCAAAAGATCTATGTCTCCAAGAAGTGGGGCTTCACCAAGTACGATCGTGAGCGTTACGAAGAATTGCGTGACGAAAACCGTTTGGAACCCGATGGTTGCAACGTTAAATACAGGCCAGAACATGGACCCATGGCTGCCTGGGAAAAGGTGCAACGTGATGTTTACGCTTAAGTTTGTAAATCGCTTGGTGTGAAAAAGTGAAAGATACGCAACTACACAAGTTTACCATCTATATTGTGAAATTAAATTTTTTAAAATAAAATTGAGTTGAACAATTGATTTGTTCAATTCTTTAAACAAAAAAATTAAAAAAAAAACAGTGATTTTATTTTCAAATGGGAATTGGGAAAGAAAACGCACAAGAAATGGAAAAATTGTGAATAAATGTGGGGGGAAGGGAGCGGGGGTTGAAGATGAATCATGTTGGACACAATGGATGAGCTATACCAATGCACGACGCAGCTTATGGTAGGAAACCCCCGTATGTATAAAATCTATATTATGAAAAGTTTCTAATCGAAATATTTTTAACTTACAGGTACCTACCAACCAACCGATGTAATAGAAAATGGAAAACAAAAATGTAAATAAATAACTTCCTGGTTGATTGAGGATTTAAACATGGAAGGATTTTTAAAAGGCATCAGTTCAATATAAAAGGAGTTTTTGTGGTAATTGGAGCAAATATAAACTGGCGGGTAGAAATCCGGAAATAGTTAATTTTTAGAATTTCCAAGTTGAACAACAATCCAAGTGCAGCCACACAGCAATTAAAATGTTTGCATTTGAAACTAGTGGCAGATATTGTGTTCAGCAATGACTGAACTTGACCCAAAATATTTAAAGGCCACAACAAATTATAATCCTTATATAATTATAATTCTCAGGAATTAAATTTTAATTAAAAATATAATTTTTCATTTCCAATAAGAATTATAAATTGAGAATTGTGAGGGTAAGAAAAAATTCGCCAAGATAATTGCATATATAAGTGGTCATCTTGTACAGTAGCATAGCAATTCGGGTGTTTATACTAGACCTTTGAATAGGACAGATATAGCTAAGGATAGATATAATGGACATTAAACGGTCTTTAATTTTCTTTATTGATAGACTATTTGGGAATTCTAGAAGGCAACATTAGCTTTACCACAAAATTGATCTTTTTGAGATTGGTTGAAATTAAAGCCTCTTTTGAATAATCAGCAAATGCAAACGAAATATTGCTGAGTAACCATGATAAAATCAACCGATGTTCTTTTAAACGCGATAGTCATTGTTGTGAAATAATTTTATGAGAAAACGCAAGTTGAATCATTAAAACAATGCATTGATCCAAGGTTTTTTAGCTCTTGTTAATCGTTTAATATTTTAAATATTTACCTACGAAATGAAGTGACGTTTTTATTAATTTTTAAAGTTAAAGTAAAATGGCGTGAAATAAATACAACGTACAGTTCAAAAAATTAACAATTAAAGATTTTCGAGACGGATTATCACAAAAAGATATTTGCATAAAGTATGGTTTACCGAAATCATCAATCATTATAAAAAAGTTTACAACAACCGGAATACTCGAAACTGCTCACTGCGGTGGCCGCCCAAGGGCCACTACATCGAAAGACGATGCAAGAATAGTTAGAGAATTCAAAAAATAATAATAAATCAGCTACGAGTGTGGTAGAAACTCTCAACTTAAGTATAAGCAGTCGAACCGTACAAAGAAGAGCACGTTCTGCTGGACTTAAAGTCCATTCATATCGGGAAAAAATAGAAAAGCTCGAATAAAATTTGCCGAAGAACACATCAGTTGGTCTATACAGTTTTGGACGCAGTTTTATTTTCGGATGAATCAAAATTTAATTTAAAATGTTCTGAAGGAATGAAGAGAGTAGGGAGACCAATAAATAAGAGGTTAGATCCACGATATTGCCAAGGCACAGTAAAACATGGGGGAGGTAATGTGATGGTCTGGGGTTGCCTTTCTGGAAATGGACTAGGACCCATACACAAAAAAGTGGGGTTATGGATAGATTCATGTACGAAGAAATCTTGCAAAGTGTTATGCTTCCATGTAGAACCCAACAAACCAAAAGTATTGAGAATAATATTATATTAAGCTTACCAACACAAGCATTAAAGTCTTGAGAAAATCTTGAGAAATGTTTATTAATAACTGTAGAAAAATCAAAACGGAACCCTTATGATACAATTACTTGTGTAATATTACTAAAAGCTTATTCTTGCAGTTGGGAAACATTTGTACACAAATGTTTTCTCAAGCATAGTTGAAAACGGTTTGTGAATTCACATTTTAACAATATTTTTTTAATATTACTAAAAGAAGCTTAAGAACAACTATTATTATAAGCTTGTTCTCAAGTGGTATTGAGATTTGATTACTGAATGGTATGTTGGGAATGGAATATGCCACTGCTATGGCAATTTCAGCAGGACAATGATCCGAAACACACCTCAAGACTTGTAGAAGATTGTTTTGAAAAAGAAGATATTCAAGTAATGAAGTGGCCAGCACAATCACCGGACCTAAATCCGATTGAACAATTATGGGAAATAGTTAATAAAAAGATAAATATTTGTTTTTAAAAAATAATAGCTGTTTTTAATTTCAATGCATATTTGTTTTAAAACTTAAATAATTTTATATGCTTATGAAGTTTAATGAATATTTAAATTTGGTTTACGTGCTACAATAAGTTTATTTCCATATCATAGTATGTATTTATAATCAATTCATATGAAGGTTTACATTCCCTGAGTCACTGTTATTATTGGGGAAACCGGTTTTCTTGCTAATATCCGTTTATGAGTCATTCAATCAAATTGAAAACAAATCATGTATTTATATCCTTCATCATAAGGTAGAATATGTATATTTGTCATTCCGTTTTCAACACATGGAAATATTAAAGGAGAGTAGACATATAATCATAAGGTAGAATATGTATATTTGTCATTCCGTTTTCAACACATGGAAATATTAAAGGAGAGTAGACATATAATCTTGATCAGAATAATATTCTAGGTCTAACATTCTATGTTCGTCTGTTGAAAACACGATAGAGTATTTTCGAATAAAATGTCTGGGTCTAAAATTAGGTAGAGTATTTTGATTATGATTGGGTAGCAAACCATCCTATTTCCATTTCTTAGTGGATATGAGACTTGAGAATAGTTATGTGTTAGGCCACTGCATTACATATCCTAATTGCATTATTTAAGATTTTTTTTTCGAACTATAGAGTTTCTGACCCCTCCAAATTAATAGATGTTAAGATATTATTAAGCACATTTGGGCAAGATTGTCGTATTCGATATAAATTGATTGGGGGTCTTGAATAGTTTGGGGAGGTTTTTGAATCAAATTGGCTTTAATTTGATATTTTAGGTTCTCATTGAGTGTCAAATCTTCCTACAAAAATTTGATGATATACCTGGAATACTTTCTGAATATTCATTCGTCTGTCCATGGAATTCGGCTAGTTTCAGTAGACTCGCTCAAGGACAATTGTTGTTGGACCATATTAGCTTTGTGAAAAGTCTGTTCAGATTTTGTAAATTTTGAAAGTAAAATCTAAAAATTTTATATAACGATTTTACATTTATGTTCTATAAAAGCCAAAGATGAGAGACACATAGGAGCATCGAATGTTAAAATGGTATTGTTTAATAAAATCCCAAAAATGTTTCCGTTCCATTTTTTTAAATTTAACTCATTTTCATTTGTAATAATGCAATATATTATATAATAAATTATTTATTATTATTTGAAGCCTCAATTTATAAATATATATTTTAAAAAAGCCTGTCTTTGCCTGAGACATTACTAAAACATACATCTATTTTTCATATAAATATTTTTAATTACTACAAAGTAAATATGAATGAACTTTGTACACTGAAACCTCTGAACGCATGCAAATCATAGTTTGCCTTTAAAAACAAATAATAATATACTAATGTATGGCTATTTCAAATATCCATTTTATTACACCGATAACATAAAAATGTTTTCCGCCTACTTCGTTAATAAAAAACTATCGATCATTAAAAATCTAATCGTAAAGAAAAATATTCAATTTACTTGTCACTGTCATTGTAGAGATTTCATTAGAGGTGGGATTTTGAAGAAAATAGAATAGGGTAATAAGGGATACAGAATGTTGGTTCCAATTAGATTGATGATCTATGCAATTTAAATTAAAATCAACCTCTGTCTCGTGATAATATCCGCACTTTTTCTATTTGATATAAATTTATGCGAGCGCAATGAACTTATTTTACAAAATCTACTAACATTGTTAAATCAGTTTAACTTATTTTATTTAACAACCTAGGATCTGAAATTTGTGAGTGACATATAAGGTGTTTCAACGATTCGTTAATCATGCTATCTCTCTTACATTATAGGAAACAAATATACGTTAAATCTATTATATCATAATGGAAAATTAAATGTGTAATTAATAACAACAACAGTAGCAACAAAAAAATGGCTAATCATTGTTGCCTGATAAGAATATGAAACATTAGGTCTGTTCGTAAACTAGATATTTTGTAAAGAAGGGTTGAATAACGGAATGGGATATCTGTTTTGAATATTAAAGACTACAAATACCAAAAACTTTGAAATCCACTAAATTAATAGGCCGCTTAAGCTCAATGAATGACACATCATTCAAATAATATAATGGTAATGCAAAAATTCTAAAATTGAGGTACACATTATAATCAATTAAAGCAAATTTAAATTTGTATTTTTTAATGATTATTTTTTCTCTATACAATGCAATAATATCTGTATATGGAAAGAGAAATTTAAAAAAAGAATAGAATGCTACAAAGGTACCACAACATTATGTTATTAGATCCTCACATTACCACTTTCTTACTCTCTCCTAGTATGTGCTTCTTAATTGGAATTTTTATCGATCACACCTAATGCCCCTGCTAATGTCACGCGTAAAAATTGTCATACAAATGATGTGTAACGTAACAGAACATGATAATAAATTAAATTAATAATAAATTGTGTCGTTCAACCTGTTAGGCAAATATTAACACACAATTTGCGGGTTTTGTAAAGATATTCCAAATCGATTTATGTTCATAAGAGAAAATAATGTTGACTTTAAAAGAAATTTCTCAAAACAGTCAGAAAGAGAGAGAGAGAGCGATATATTGCGGTTGCAAAAATTTGTAAGATAATCTCTATGGAACAATTTAAATCGAGGCTAAGCGTAGGCCAATTTTGAAATTCTTTCACAAAGGCAAAAGCCACAGTGGTTTTTAATGAGATTTGGAAGTGTGAAATGCTGGCAAGAGGGTTTTTTAAGACTAATCTCTGTCAGGATGATAGGGAATAGAGTTGAATTCAGTCTGCAGTTCATCACCTGGACATCTCACAATGATTTAGGCTTATTTTCCTTGACATGAAAAGGAGGCTATATTGAGGTCGACAACAGTTTCTCCACTGACTTTGATAGATAAATTAACGGTCAAAACTGCAATTTCAACAACTATGCATACTACGAATACTTCTATGACACTAGCAGAATGTTTACGTCATAGCGACGAAAACAATCAAGTGATATCTGAGACTGATGATGAACAACAAGTACATGAAATGCAAATTACAGGTCAAATTTTTAATATAAAACATCCCGAGACTAGTAATGTTTTAGAATTCGATCAAAAATATATCCTTTAAGAGGTGCCGGTGAATAGGTCGAGGTGTTGTAAACCGAATTACAAATTTAACGTAATGGTGGAGTAGGTATTTAAAATGTTTATACCCTTCACCACACTGTGGTACAGGGTATTATGTCTTTGTGTATATGTTTGTAACAGCAAAAGGAAACGAGATAGACCCAGGATTCCATTTGAGAATATGCATAGAATCCGTCTGTAGATGTTAAATTGTTAAACAAAGTACAGGTCGCATTTATGATCCGGTTTGGTTGAAATTATGTACAAGTCAGTTATTTGGTCCAAGGACGAACACTATTGAATTCGGTTCAGCTTTAGATATAGCTCCCATATATAATTTCATCCGATTTAAGGTAATTGGTGCACCGAAGACCCTATATATCTTTCGAATTGCACAAAATTTGGCATAGTGTACTGAGTTGTGTCTACAATGATGTGTGTTAAATTTCGTGAAAATCGATTCAGATTTAGATATAGCTCCCATATATATTTTCGTCCGATTTTATGTATATGGTGCACGAAAATCCCTATATATATATTGCGATTTGCAAGAAATTTGGCATATGGTACTGAATTAGGTCCAGAATGATGTGTGCTATGTTTCGTGAAAATCGGTTCAGATTTACATAACCTCCTATATATATTTCGGCCGATTTTAAGTAAATGGTGCACTGAAGATCCATAGTTAGGCCGATTGACACAACGTACTCTAGTTATTATAAATTAATCTCCGTTAAGTTTCCTTGAAATCGGTTCAGATATAAATATATCATAGCTTCCATATATAATTTCGACCTATTCTTGAGAAGATATTTTTAGGAATGTCCTTCAGCAAACCCACAAATAAACATTTGCACCAAGAATCTGTTGCTTCCGTATTTTTTTGAGAATTCATAACATTTATTTATTCTAGAAGTGTTTTTTTGTTTCAAATGCTAAAATTTGTTGCAATAACTTTTACTTTGGGAATTTCACTTGTCCCCAGGATATAATATTATGTTTATTTTTATAAAACAATGTTAATGTCCCCGGGGCAATTTGTTATTACATGTATTCAATTAAAGGTCAGTTCTGCCCACCATAACCTTGAAAACTTATTTTTTATCCCCATCCAAATATTTGTCTGCAAGTAGAAAATGTTGCTTCCGTTTTTTTTTTTTTTTTGAGATTTTATAACATTTATTTATACTAGGAAGTATTTTTTTGTTTCAAATGCTAAAATTTGTTTCAATAAGTTTTACTTTGGGAATTTCACTTGTCCCCAGGATATAATATTATAAAATCCCTGAGGGAATTTTTTTAAATGTATTCAATTAAAGGTCAATTCTGCCCACCATAACCTTGAAAAATTATTTTTCCAGGTCACCTTCTCCCATCTACTTATAACATTCCCTGTTAAACTCCCACACTTTTTGTTGAGATAATCTAAAAAAACACACATACACTGACATCTCTATTATTTCAAAAACTATGTTCAACATTGTTGCTATTCTGAACCTTCCCCTTTCCGTTATCACACACGTAAAAAATGTGATAACAACAATGGGTAAAGAGATATTTTGCAAATAATAAAAAACATAGAACAACAACATTGTTAACTAAAAATAGTAAAAATTTAACGAAAGGAGAAGAGAGGAGAGCGAAGAAAAAAACATTAAACGCACATGACATTTAATTACAAAAAGGCTATTTAATAAATTGGAGGTCATGGCATATATGACAGTAAACAAATAGCCACACATCAAAAAAAGAAAAAAAAAACAAACAAAAAAGGATGCGCACTAGCCCGTCAGGCCAGTGGCCTTATTAGTGTTAATCCTTAATTTAATATATATTGGTCAAGGTCAACAATGTGTGTGTGTATGTATAAATATTTGAATTTGGGGTATTGGTAAAATTTCCTTAATTTAATTAAAACACAAAAACAAAACTTACCGAATTTGTGGCCAAAATTTGTAAATTTGGATTTGAATCCTCCAACAATTTCTGTACCATGCGCAAAAATGATTCCACAAATAAATTTAAAGTTGTTTGGGCATGACAGGCCTGCAATAAGATATCCATGGCTTCCATGGCAATTTCCACAAACCTATTTGGCGAATCAAGCAGGAGCAGCAGCAGCAAAATAAAAGAAAAAAACAAAATAGTCATAGAAAATTGTTAATAAAAGAGTAGAAATTTAAGAATATAATAACAACAACAATAGAGTGTGAGGTAAGAGTAATATGAGACAAATTATACATAAGAGTCATAATAAAAATAACAATAACAACAACAATAACAAACAATAATGTTTATAACAGCAACAATGTCAGTGAATGGTAATTGCAAGTGGCAGTGGCTGTAGACAGGCGGCATACCTCCTTATTCACAGCCCCCAATGTTATAAAAATAAACACAACAACAAATTGGCAAATGACACCAGTTGCCAGGAGCCCTAGGTGGTATTTGTGGTGGAGAATCTGAAGGTGATGTTGATATCAACAATATGTCTATTGATACAATTGAACACTGTAGATGAAGGCTTCGTTTAGTTTCTTTTTTATATAATTATAGGATAACAAGGTAGGGAAACACTAGGCAACATAAAATTTGAATGAATACAATATTTATTTAATAAAAAGATGTATTAATTCTAAACCTGAGGAAAGACGGACGGGACTTCAACACCTTGGATATATTCAACAGACGCCGCATTTTCGAAAGACCATTAACTTGAAATTGGATGAACAAAAATATTTGACCTTAGTCTATATGTGAACCAACTAACATCAATCCAAACATATGCAATTCTGCAACGTATTCTAAATTTCATTTCATTCGGACAAATCTCAATCGGACACTCGTTGATTATTTGAAACCCAATAAACATAAAACCCACAATATCTAAACCGATTTCAACAAAGCTTGTCCCAGTTTAGTTTATATTAATTTCAGCACGTTTTGTGCATATCGGCCATATTTCGGGTGCTTGGTGCATCATTTACTTAAAATCGGAGGAAAATATATATAGAAGCTATATCTGAAACTGAATCGATTTGAACCAAACTTAACAAATATTATTCTAGATTTAATTCTGTACGCTATGCTAAATTTCGTGCAAATCGAAAGATATAAAGGGACTTTGATACACCATTTACAATAAATCGGACGAAAATATATATGTGAGCTACATCTAAATCTGAACCGATTTTCACGAAACTTCACACACATCATTCTAGACTTAATTCAGTACGCTGTGCCAATTTTCGTGCAAATAAAAACATATATATGGGAGTTATATCAAAATTTGAACCGATTTTCACGAATTTCATTTGAACCGATTTTCAGCACATGTCATTGTCGACTTAATTCAGTACGCTATGCCAAATTTCGTGCTAATCGAATGATGTATAGGGACTTTGGTGCCCCATTTACCTTAAATCGGACGAAAATATATATAGGAGCTATATCTAAATCTGAACCTATTTTTCCCAATTTCAATAGTGTTCGATCTTGGGCCAAACAAATGAGCTGTACCAAATTTCATCCAAATCGAATGATAAATGCGACCTGTACTTTGTTTACAATTTAACATCAACAGACGGACCGACGGACATGCATAAATCGTCATAGAAAGTGATTCTATGCATATTCTCAAAAGGAACCATGTGTCTATCTCGTTTCCTTTTGCCTGTTTACAACCATATGCACAAAGTCGTAATACCCTGTACCACAGTGTGGTGAAGGGTATAAAAAGGGGGTTATGTGGGGACTACCCCTAAAAGTGGGCGAATATTAATAATTTTTGGGAGGGAGATTTGTCACCATATACGACTTAAAGAAAAAACAAATTACAAAGAATTTGGTTAAAAAACCCGTTCAAGAACCCCAAAATATCGAAAATTGGGGGGATTGGGGGCTACCCAAAAAAATCATCTATATTTTTAATTATTAGTGGAGAGATTTGCTACCCAATAAGAACTCAAAGTACTAAATTACAGCCAATTCGTTGAAAAAATACAATCTGAACCCCCAAAATACCGACAATTGGGGTACCTTTATATGGAGACAACCAGAAAAAATTTACCTATATTTTAAGTGGAGAGATTTGCCACCCAATAACGACAATTGGGGGTACCTTTATATGGAGACAACCAGAAAAAATTTACCTATATTTTAAGTGGAGAGATTTGCCACCCAATAAGAACTCAAAGTACTAATTTACAGGCAATTCGGTGGAAAAATACGATCAGAACCCCCAAAATACCGAAAATTTGGGGTACCCTTATATGGGGGCTATATTTATTATTTTGAGTGGGGAGATTTGCTACCCAATAAGAACTCAAAGTACTAAATTACAGACTATTCGGACGAAAAATGCGATCAAAACTCCCAAAGTACCGAAAATTGGGGAAATACTTATATGGGTGCTTTCGGAAAAAATTGCCTATATTTATTATCTTTAGTGGGGGAGATTTGCTACCCAATAAAAACTCAAAATACTAAATTACATCCAATTTTTGTCTTCAAAACTATCATTTTGTCAGCTCTTATTTCTATGAAGTATGTGGTGAATTTTTTAATTTAAAAGCTATTAAAATTTTATCTATTTTTAGAATACTCTTATACTCTGTAGATTATTCCCTTAAAAGGTCATCCCTCCATAACAGCTTATTTTAATAGGACACCTCATTCATTGAAGTTGTTTTTCCTCGGTCCCTAAAGTCGGTCATCTGTTAACAGAAAAACGTGTATTTCTTTTGTTGCCCAGTGTCATTGACTCACAAGGATAACAACATGAATACATTGTGACAGGAAGGAGACCACCCGCCACTAATAATTGCGACATAATGCCATTTGTGAGTCATTTGTGCCATAAACTTAAAAGAAAAACAAATACAACAACAAATTAAATATACAAATCGAATTACACATAATTACATTTACTTACTTATAACGTTTGCGATTAATATCCTTCGATGCTTTCTGATACAAATATTCACCAATACGATCCAGTTTATCCGGTGAACTCAACGAATAGAATGTCAGCTTTTCCATATTTGATTTGACCAGGCCATCTTCCGAGTTGACTGGGAATATATTATCCACGAGACGTTTATAGCGCGGCCTCAAAGCCGAACAACAACCGCAACAACCTAAGGGTATAAGACAGGGTTGAAAACAACACGAACATGGTGGACGCGATACGGAGGGACGCGGTATTATTAAACGCATGCATTTGTAGCTAAACATAATAATAGGCAGGATCGTTTTTTGATTATTGATTAATTGATTTGATGATGGTGAGATTAAGATTGAGAGAAGAGTAGAGATGATGATAATTTTCTTTTTTTGTGGCTTATTTTAAATAATTATTTTCTCCTTTTAGAGGGAGTGAGGAGAGTATTCATTATATTGTGACAAACTGACAAACACTGGCCAATAAGATATTGCAAAACATTTTCGCGCTTTTGTAAACTTTCGTAGGATAATAGGGTTTTATTGTTTTGTTTATTATTTATTTGTAAGTGAGTGTGTGTTTGTTTGTGATTATTATTATTTAGAATCTTTTGGCTCGGTCTTTATGCCGAGGAAGACGTTTTAGTACTAAACAACCGTTAACATTTCTAATGTACACATAGCGGTTAGATTGTGCATATCAGTCAGAGTCTTTCCCTCCCTGACGAACTGACAGACAGACATACGACTAGCTGCCTTTTCAGTGGCTAGGTGGTAATCGTGTTGGGTGCTGCTGCTCTGGTCGCTTGACTGGTGGCTAGCTGTTGTGTTATTGCAAATGTTTGTATTCCCCCCACTACCTCCCTTCCTCGCAACTCCTGCTATTCTATTCTTTAGACTTTGCTGTTACGCTTAGCGAAATAACATATAAAAGTGACGTTTATTTTCACAATGAAAATCCAACAACAACAACAAACACGAAGTATAAAAAAAGTGTTGTGTTTACAAATTGTTGTGAGAGCCCTTTCCATTGCTGTTTTAACTGCTGTGACGGCAAAACGGCAATGGCCTTTGTTTTTGGCGGTGACTATTACAACTATGCTGCTGACTGACTGATATTAAGGTTCTAGGCTCTGAGTATGTGCGTTTTTTGGAGTTCTCTTTTCGCCGCCGCCAAGTTAACATGCAAACATCGCAATGTCATTCAGTCAGTCATTCATTCGCTGGCCGGCTATCGTTCTACAAAGTAATCATCAGTAATCGTATACCATCATTCATCGTTCAAATTAGTCGTGTAGCCGTAACCAAAAACGAACGAAAGGTGGGAAAAGGTTTTTAAAGATAAGAATATTTGTATATTATTTTTAGTTTAATTTTATTTTGGTAAAATTTCAGAAGGGTTTGGTTTGGAAGAAGAGCAAATATATGGATCGATACCTTGTCATATGGAATACAATTTTATTTTATGCAATTTTTTTTATATCCTGGGGTCAACAATTGGAATAAGTGAAATAGTAAACAAGTAAAAGAAGCGTTAAGTTCGGCTGGGCCGAATTTTGGAAACCCTCCACCATAAGTATGCTAACAGATACTTGCAACGAAAATATAGGGAACATTTGGGTATGTTGTGGACCTATACCGATAATTCTACCAAAACCTAATACAAATTTCAGCAATTTTTAATGAAGATTTTTTCCTAAAAACAACAAAAACTGAACTGATATTGACGACGCTTGGTAGGATGGAACATCCCCAAAATACTGCAATTTAGAGGATACTGTTATATAAGGCCATCACCAATGTACACAGGATTTATTTTCGGGGGGTTGGGTGGAAGCAGCTGGTTCAATATGAACATTTTCATTGAGAGAAAAAAACGTATGTGAGTACGTCCCTGGAGGCGATACCTAAAGCGGGACCAGTATTGTTTACATCGTGTAGGAATTACCGACCATTTGTAGTTATCATTATATGAGGTGTTATGTCTCTATTGAGTACTGATATAGCTCAATTTCGGAACTAACATTTTTGCATCTCAATAACTTCGTTTACGCTAAATATTACAAATACAGAAAATCGGTAGGAATCATTATATGGGGACTAGATCGAACTGCGGGCCAGTTTTTTATCTCGTTTTTATCTCGATATCCTCCGCTGGTTCAATATGAACATTTTCATTGCAGAAAAAAACGTATGTGAGTACGTCCCTGGTGGCGATACCTAAAGCGGGACCAATATTGTTTACATCGTGTAGGAATTACCGATCATTTGTAGTTATCATTATATGAGGTGTTATGTCTCTATTGAGTACTGATATAGCTCAATTTCGGAACTAACATTTTTGCATCTCAATAACTTCCTTTATGCTAAATATTAAAAATAGCGAAAATTATATGGGGACTAACCTAACTACGGGTCGATATGGTTCATTATCGAACCTTACGTTCTAGTTTTTTTATATCGATATCCTCCGCAAGTAGAATGATTACAATAAAGTCTTAGAACCAAAACCAAATCGCGGAACAAATCAGATAACTATTTTAATAGAAAAAGGGGGGTTATATGGGGACTACCCCTAAAAGGTGGAGAATATTAGTAATTTTTGGGAAAAAACACATTACAAAGAATTTTGTCAAAAAAACCCCAAAGTACCGAAAATTGAGGGGTACCCTTATATGGGGACTATCCGAAAAAATTTACCTATATTTATAATTTTTAGTGGGGAAATTTGCTACCCTTTAAGAACTCAAAGTACTAAATTTGAGCGAATTTTGGCGATCTATCTCAATTCGTTTAGACGCTAGAGTGATTACAACAGACAGACGGACGTGCTTAAATCGTTATAGAATTTTACGCTGATCAAGAATATATGTACATTATAGGGTCAGAAATGATTTCAGATTGTTTCATCTTTAAATTGCCCAAATAAGGTTTTGTGTACATTCAAGAGCTTTAATAAAAAAAATTAATTATAAACAGTTAGTTTTAGTTCTATTAATACATTAATTAATGAATCCCAGTGATTAACCAAGTTGTATCCTTGAAAAGGTTCTTTTTTGCATTTTATGATGACATTGAAAAAGTTTTCATTTGAAATATTTTTATCTAAACATCTACAAAACTAACCCACAAATTTACAACATCAAATACTTAAGCTAATAATTATTTTTTTGAAAAAGTACATATTTACATTTTAAATCTCTGTTATCAGAATAGTCCAAAACCAAACACAACATTTAGAACAAAATGTTGATATCAGAATGTGCTGAAGGTCTGTTGTTTACACCAAGATGTAATTTACAACAAAGAAGCACTATTTTGGATAAATACTTTTCAAAATGTAAATATTACTGAAAGGACGTTCTTTGAACCCAAATTCAAAAATAGGTACGAAATAATTGTTTAATCAATTTTAATGTAAAAAACAATTCGAATAAAAAGGTCACTTTCTAGGAGTTACTATTACAAGCACAAATGCAAATATGAGAAATTTGTCAAGGTAATTTTTAATACAATTTAATTTTTATCCACTGGATTTTAAGAGGCAAATGTAGACAGTTAGGATCCTAACGAGTATGTAAGACTTCATTTTCGGCCAGACCGAACTTAATCTACAAATGGGTACAATAAGTCGGGATTCCTAAATGAAGGCTAAAAGGTAATGTGTTTTTTTTTTCCAAAAATAGTGGACTGTATCGAAAAATTGACTTATATAAAAAATAGGTATTTTATCCTCTGAAAAACAAAGACCTGAAATTGCAAGCGAAAAAGTTTGCAATACAAAACATTATTGACGACGCATGGTAAGATGGAACATCCCTAAAATACTGCAATTTAGAGGTTGCAGTTATATAAGGCCATTACCAACATAAACAGTTTTTTTTAAGGAGGTTGGGTGGAAGCTGCTGGTTTAATATGAAAATTTTCATTGAATGATTACAAAAAAGTCTTTGAAACAAACCCAAAACGCGGAACAAATTAGATAACCATTTTAATATAAAAGGGAGATTTGTTACCAATTTGGTTGAAAACCCCGTTCAAAAACTCCAAAATACCGAAAATCGGGTCTACCTTTATATAAGGACTACCCACAAAAATGGACATATATTTATAATTTTTAGTGGAGAGGTTTGCTATCCAATAAGAACTCAAAGTACTAAATTACAGCCACTTCGGTCGAAAAATACTATCAGAACCCCAAAATACCGGGTACCGTTATATGGGGACTACCAGAAAAAGGGGAGCTATATTTATAATTTTGAGTGGAGTAATTTGGTATCCAATAAGACCCCACTTTACAAAATTTTAGCGATCTATCTCAATTCCTTTAGACTCTAAATTGATTACAACAGACAGACGGCCATTCTTAAATCATCATAGAATTTTACACTGATCAAGAATATATACACTTTATAGGGTCGGAAATGATTATTTCGATGCGTTATAAACGAAAAAACAAAACTAATATACCTTCCATACTATGGTGGAGGGTATACAAATATCCGGGGTTCTATTACGGAAGGCCAAATAAATGAAAATCAATAACTACATAAAATAATGTAAATATTATTGAATATTTTTATCAGTGATTTTTATAATTAAAATTCTGACCTTGTTCTAAAAATGTTGCAATGCCTTTAAAACTATAAAAGGAAAATCGACGACGAAGGCTATGGAACAGAGCGAAAGATATGAGTTGACCATAGAAACCTACGATCTATTTTAGAACCAGCAAGATTTTGCTACCAGACAATTTCTACGATTTTTCCATTATAAATTTCAAAATTTTTATCGGGAAAATATCACTAAAAGTCGACAAAAATTCAAGAACTAGAACAAAATGAGGTATTATACAAAATTTATCATATTCCGAAACTCAGGACAAAATAATGCTAATCCTTAAATGATTTTATCAGATTGAAGATATTAATTAAATCATTTTATGACTGAGCCGAATAAACTGAAGCCTGGAAATCTATTGTGTAGGAGGGTCAGAGACTAGTAGAGACAAATGTGTCATCTATACAAATATATGTAAAGCAATAAAAACTAGCATAAAATACAAAATATTTCTTATAACCCTCAACATCAAATAAGGGTTGGCTGTCATGACAACATTATTCCGCGGACAAATGTGTGCATGCGAAAAACAAAGGATGATACTGCACCCAACCACCCTACTTTAAATCAAAAGTCATTGAACTTTAAACAAAAAACCAAAAGCACAGGTCAATTACACTAAGCTCTTTAATATATAATTTTAGACGTATGTAAACATAACTACTACATATTTAAAAAATATTTATTAAAAATAATATTATCTCTTCAAATTTTGAATCGATTTGTCTTTTACTAATCACAAACAAATCACTCAGGGTCATGAGAACTGAAATGTCCTTGGTTTTACAACAATAATGGCAATATATGATTTTAAAAATAAAACATTGATTAATTGGTAGTGTGTATTTCCCCTCCCCACCACCCACAATCAAGTACAACCTATAGGCCTATTAACACGATGATCAATTGTGGGCATAAATAAATATATATGCCCATATCTATATACAAAACAACAATAACAGCACGCTCAATTCTTACATATATGCTTGGGCCAAATACCATAAGCATGGCCAAAATGTTTAATCTTATCAGTTTCGAAAATTTGCTTCAAACAAATTCTGTTTTGCCACCATTTCCATGTAGCATTTTTACATGATTACAAACCATTTTGAGAGCAATATCACTAGGTGGCGGCCAATCCCACCACCTCATCAACCCACTTTTGACATCCATCGAGTCAGTAAGTCAACCTCGGCCATCAGCAACAACACACAAATCAACATCATCAGTTAATCAATTTTTCATCGTTTTCTGGTTTTTCTTCTTATAAGAGGTTTATGACACACTTTCGCACTTTATTTTGTTCACATCTCTGGGCCACAATTCTCACCTGACATTATGGATAAACTTTGGACCTAATTGGTGTATGAAGTAACACTGAAGTTTCGTTGTAGTTGTTGTAATTTCCACAGATTTTTTAATAATTTATTTGCAAAACTCTAACTAAAATAAAAAATTAATCACAACACATCGACACAAACAATAGTGATGTCAACATATCGATAACTGTTGGAGAGATATCGTTTTTGTTTTGACATTTTCTTATTGTTATCGAAATGGTTGTGTGGAGCCTTTAATGGTGGCGTTTGGCGACAGAAAGGCAGAAATTGTATTACTTGAATATGATTCACAAATTGGAAACAATTGGGATAAAATCATAAAACTTTTAAAATTTATAAAGGTGTTTTTTAAAGGGGCAACAAATAGTGGATTATTGCAAGATCTGAAACTGGACAATATTAAAAGATAACGTATTTATTAAAGGGAACATTTTTTGTAAATATTGGTGATTAATAGTGAATTTTATACTGAAAAAATCTTAGAAAATTCAGCGCACAGGAATTTTAATTTATTCGGTTTATTATGCATATTTCTGACAAAAGATTATCATTTCCTAATGTAGGGAGAAATGTAGAAGGAGAAAAGGCAAATCCAATACTATTATAAGCAGCAGGTTGAAAATTGAAAATTTGTTAAAAAATTATTATGAATATTATTATTATTAGTTGGTCAGTTCCTGTACGGGAACAGACCAAGTATATGCTAGAATAGCAAGGAAGTTAGTTCGATAACAAAAAAAAAATAGGGATAATGCGTTAACAAGGCATAATAGGTATACTGGAAGATACTTGCAATGAAAATATAGGGAACATACAAAAAAATGAACCTATACCGATATTTCTACAAACCGATTTATGTAATCCATTATGTACACCAAATACAAATTTCAGGAATTTTTGTTTACATACTTTAAACTCCTTGTACATTAGAACTTTTTTACCGGATTAACCTACTTTATGATGATTTATTTGACATATATGCAAAGGAAATGACAATTGAAACCCACTGGGTTAACGAAATCTTGTTAAATGTAAACGTACTATTAGGAAGCGAAGATTTGACTTTATCATTATATGGGGACTATGCCTAATTAGCGACCGATATATGCCAATTTCAAACCCAATATTTTAGTTCGTTTTATCTCAATTTATTCCTTTAGGAGGTATCAATTTATAGAGGAGATGCCTAAATGTCTGAAGATATATTTCATTATCGTCAGGTTCGAATTTTTTTATCACGATATCTTTAGAAGGCTGAATGATTACAACAGATGGCTAAATCGTTCCACACTTTGTAGGGTAAAAACTGACTATTTCGAGTAACGAATATCCTCCTTATTATTGTGGAATACGCCTATATGGGGACAACACCAACACACGGAACAAATCAGCTACTATCCCTAAAAGGGGGCGAATATTAAGAATTTTTGGTAGGGAGGTATATGACTTCGAAAAACCAAATTACAGAGAATGTCAAAAATTATGGGTACCTCTATATGGGGACTACTAGAAAAAGTGGATTGATATTTATATTTATTGGAGAAATTGTGTGTATGATAAGAACCCATTTGTACCAAAATGCGATTTTAGTGGAGAGATTTACTATCCAATAAAAACTCAAAGTACTAAATAACGGGGGGGGGGGGGGGGTACCGTCATATGGGAGCTATTAGAAAAAGTGGACCTATATTTATAATTTTTAGTGGAGAAATCCAATGTACCAAATTTCAGCGATTTCGATATAAAACGCCCTCAAGAATCCCAAAATACCGAAAATTGGGAGGTACTTTCATATGGGAACTATGCCTAAACATGGCCCGATATAGTCCATCTTCGAACATGACCAAGGCCCTCGGACTAAAGACTACTCTATGCAAAATGTTTGGCAATCTATCTCAAACGGGCATGTTTAGATCGTGGAATTTTAGGCTGATCAAGAATATATATACTTTTTAGGGTCGCAAATGATTATTTCGATGCGTTATAAACGGAAAAACAAAATTAATATACCCTCTATACTATGGTGGAGAGTATAAAATCACACGCCTTTTCTTAGGACGCGGAAAGATATTTTTAAAAATGGATGCCATCCCTTAGGTATCGAGAAAACATTTTTCAAAAAGCACTTTTTTAGTTTTTGAAAAAAATATTTTTAAAAAATCCAAGGTTTTTGTAGGTCTTGAAAAAATATTTTTAGTATGTGGTCTGTTCCTGTACGGCAAGAATCTACTACTTTTTGCTACGATAACAAATTTTCCTTTATGATGTCGAAGAAAATAGTAAAATCTAGTAGATTCTTGCAGTACGGGAACAGGCCAACTATTTTTCCTTGCATTCTTGTGACTTTGGCCAGCCTGTCATAAATTAAAATAAATACGCCCTCATTTAAGTATCACCCAAAAACAAAACAGCGTAAGAGTTATCGATAAATAAACAACCGGTTTTGAAAAGACAAACGGAAAAGTATGTTATCAGCTGATGATAGGTGCTGCCAAGTTTACATTTAGTAGGCAGGAGGAGAAAAAAACTGTTAACTGAAGTTTACGGTATTGGAACAATTTGAAACATTGCTTTAAACAAAAAAATGTGAAAAATTAAAAAAAAATAATTACACATATATTTATAAACATATCTTATATTTTGGCAATTAAATATAACGGTATATAATTGGCGTGAATTATGATTTTTTGGTAAGTTAAATATCAACATGAATTTATCATTAAGCGCTGCCTTTAAAACGCTGATTTTGACATAAATTTGAATATAAATCAAAAAATTTGCATTTTAGTTGACTGATATTTTTCGAAATTATTGGTCTTTTCCTTACTGCAAGAATCTACTAATTTTTACTATTTTTCCAATTTCATAAAGGAAAAATTGTTATCGTAGAAAAAAATTGTACTTTTTGCAGGTTCTGGAACAGACCATATTTAAGTTTCCCTAAAGAATCTCCCAAGCAGAAAACATGTCAATGTTTACATAGACCCGAGCAAGGGTTCATAGTGGAGATTAAGAAAAATTATTCACAGCCAAATTAATATTCTCTACTTGTTTCGAATTTTGTTTATTCTAATATGTTTCCGTCTATCTTATTGTGGAATGTATGAAAAGTTCGGACAAAGCAATCACAATTGTTTTATTCCCTACAAATAATTCTATATTTTGCATTAATATTTAATTTATTAGCAGTTATCATCGATTTTATGCATCTCTATCCCTCTCAATACTTACATGATGGATCTGTACATTTCTGAACAAATGTATCAAGGAATTCGGGAAACTCCACAGGTTCAAAGCAGCACGTGAACAGAGCCATATTTGTAGGATTTGGGTTTGCTTCCTTCTTAACAGGTGGTTGAGGTCTATTCTCTGACTGCCTGTTACTGTTATAGTTGATTGACTTTTTGTTGATTTCAAAGGCGGGACGTTCTTTTTACACCTCCTCCATTTTGTGTATATTTTTTTATATTGATACTATATTTTTAACTATTTAACAATGAATTAAAACAACAACGTTACTTATTTTACAATAATTTTTTTCAATAATATTATTTTCGTTTACTTTCTTTCTATAAGATTTGTTATTGTTATTATTATTCTTTTTAAGGTTAATGTTAACTGTGACCTCTATGCTCTCTGTTATGTTCTTTTGAAGGGTTTCTCTGTTGTTCTGTTCTGTTATGTATGCCATGCACTGACTGTGAATTCATGCAGTCGTGTTTGGTTTTGTTGTTAGTTTTTCCATGTTTTGTTTGTTGTTTACTGCATGCGCGGTTCAGTGGGTGTGTGTGGGTATGTTTGTGTGTGCTGTTAAAGGGGGAGCACTTTTACTTTAGTTTATGTTGTTGTTTATTATGTTAGTTGACTGTGAGTGCAAAGATTCTCTCGCCTGAGCTTAACAAGTACAAAGAGCAACAAATTGTTGTCGGTTGACCTTGAACTGTTTAGTTAAACACATTGGGGGGAGACAATACACATGCTGGCAGTTTGTTGTTATATTTTGTTTGTATGATGTGTGTGTGTGATGATTTGTTGTTGTTGTTATTAAACAAGCGAAGAAGACAATGGCGGCGTCAACGGTGGTGTTGTTGTTGTTGGTTTGGATGGTTGTTTTTGTTTATATTTAGAAAACTGTGGGGTGTTTTGGTAGGTTAGTTATTATTATGCGAGTGTCAGAGAAATTGGGGAGAAAGGTTTAGAGAGAGTGAAAGAGAGAGTAACGTTTGTTTTGTTTGATTGGGGGGAGAATAAATAGCTGGTTTGTTTTGTTTTGATAAATCAGCTGTTTTAGGTGCCCCAAAAGGTTTTTGTATTTATCTTTGGCATAGAGCTTTATTGACACAGATATTTTTTAAAGGGGTTGTTTTTTTATTGTTGTTGTTGTTGCTGATGGTGGTTTTGTTTGCAGCAAATTTCCCAAGGGAATAAGGAAATTGTTTTCGATTTTTATTTTATAGAGGTCATATAATTTTGTTGTATATTTTATTAAAATTTTGAAATGCTTGACTGTGTTGGCAGAACAAATTTATGTTTTAATTGTTGTTTAGAAAATTTTTTATTTTATTTGTTAATGTTATTGTTGTTGTTTTTTGCTCTTTTATAACACTCAATAACCAAAAAAAGCTTTATGCTATTTATGGTAGGGTTTAGGTTTTTATTGTTGTTGTTGTTATTGCTCACTTCAGTCGTTTATATTGTTTGTCACTTCGAAATAACAAATTTTCAAGTGGTTTTGGATTCTTAAGAATCTTTTTAGCTTGTTATTCCATTGAAGAAGAAGAAGCAGCATCAACACCCACGCCTTGTTGCTGCTATTGTTCTTTTTTGGAGAGGATGTTAATGGTCGCCTTTGATGATGATGATGACAAAGACCAGCCGTAGTATGATGACACCGAGTCTGCTGTTAATGTCTTTTTGGCATGTCTCGTGTATGTATAAGTGGAGAATCTAGTTGAACTGTCACTTGGGGTATAATTAACGGTAACATTTCTTTTTTTATTTGCTTTATATTTCTTACTATAAATTAGCTAGGTAGACAAGATTGGTAAGACCACATTTCAAAATGGAGTTGAGAACTTTTTTGTAATTTAT